TACACACATGGAATACTATGCAGCCATAAAAAAGGATGAGTTTGTGTCCTTTGTAGGGACATGGATGCAGCTGGAAACCATCATTCTCAGTAAACTATCGCAAGAACAGAAAACCAAACACCGCGCATGTTCTCCACTCTTAGGTGGGAACTCGAACAATGAGATCACTTGCACTCGGAGTAAGGGGAACTTCACACACTGGGGCTATCATAGGGAGGGGAGGGGGAGCAGGGAGGGCATTGCAATGGAGTTATATGTGATGTAAATGACGAGTTGATGGGTGCTGACGAGTTGATGGGTGTAGCACACCAACATGGCACAGGTATACATATGTAACAAACCTGCATGTTATGCACGTGTACCCTAGAACTTGAAGTATAATAATAATAAAAAAATAAATAAATTAAAAAATTTTTTTTTTCATATTTTCCTACATTGTTGCTAAAATAGTTCCACTGGTTCAAACTGTCAGTGTAAGTCCAACCTATTCTTCAGAATTAATTAGAATTTCATCTTACCATGAAAGTTCATTCTGCAATCACCAGGAAGTTTGACATTGACTTCAGACAAAATCTTAGAATGTAACGCTTAATTAACAATTTGTATTGTTATATTGTGAGTTAGCTGCATGTGTTAGAATATCTCAGACTTACCAAGTCCAAAACTGAACTCTTGAGTTTTCTCCCCAAAACTGTTTCCTTCCCCGTCTTCTCCAACTCTGTGATTAAAAACTCCACTCAGTTGCCTAAGTCAAATATTTCAGGGTATTCTTTGTTTCTGCTTTCTCTTATACTCAATATCTAACTATAAGCAAATCACCTTCAAAATATCCCATATTCAATTACTTCTCATCACTTCCTTTTTCACCACCATAGTTGATATGATACATTATTCTCTCTTACCTGGATTATGCAACAGCCATCTAAATAGTCTACTTGTTCTTACTTTTGAACTCCCTAGAGTCTATCTTCCATATATGTCAGATCATGGTCTCATCTACTCAGAAACTTCCAGTGACTTCTGTAGGGAGAGAGATTAAAACTTTTTTTTTTTAACCTTCTTAGGTTCAGTGGCTTGGGCCTGTGAATTACACTTCAAAAAGACAGATCAACAGGAAAAAAGAACCCCAGAATTTGTTTATGCATGCAATGTACATATATATAGAAGAACTTAATGATGGGTAACTCAAAGGTGTGATTAGAATTTGGAACTTATATATCATCTTAACAAAGAAAGATAAGTTTGTGGAGAACTGACAAAACAAAGGAAAAGGAAACTAGGCTTCCAGGGACAGTCAATTGAGGGAAGGTAAATATATAAAGGGAAACTAATGGAAGATAAGGGTTATTTTAGTAAGGTTTGTTCATGCAGACCAATGTTGGTGCTGACATTCCAACTCCAGTAACAATGGTTGTTTTCCTCTTCATGGTATGAGAGAAGGAAGGACATTCATGTCCTGCTTTTAGGCAAATCAGGGGAGGACAAAGAGATCTTTCTGTTTGCTGCTTCGTAATTGCCTTCAGCTCAAAATAATCATTATGCCAATGTAGCATATCATGGGGTGGCATATTTTGATCCCCTTCACTAGTTTATCTTACAAAGCCTGTTCTAGTCACAAGGTACATAACTTGGTCTACTACATTCTCTTAGAAAGAGAAATGAGAAGCTATCTCCTATCATGTTAGAAAAGAGGTTGTGTGGGGGAGGGGCAGTTTGTGAGATCAGGGAGTTGAGTGGTTTCCAAGAGAAGCTGTGTACCCTGCCCCTCAGATAGAGGCCCAGGAAGCAGGCAAGGCCACAAAGAGAGAAGGGCTGCTTGGAGGGGGCCAGGCTGATGAAGACTGATAGGCCATTAAGGGAATGAAGAAAGAGCCTGAAAGAGACTTACTTACCAGACTGATATCCTATGTGGACCAATGGCCAGCGACCAAAAAGGTTGATATCTACTGATACAAGTAAGTCAAAGACCACATTTCTTCTACCCTCTCTGCTGAAGAAAGCAAGAAACTTGATGAATCAGGAGGACATGGACTGATTAAGGCAGAATGAAACATAAACACAGAAATTTCCAATTGGGTTGAATTATTTACAAATATATATTTATTAATCTACTTGATTTGTGGAATAAAATTTATATACTCCCTGGCACATAGAAGGTCAATTTATTATAGTTACTATTCCTGCTATATTTTATTTTATGTGTATGTCCATCTCTTTTTGGTTAATCTGATGCTTAATTGTATGTGTCAACTTGGCTTGGCCATGGTGTTCAGATATTTGGTCAAACATTATTTTACATATATCTGTGAAGGTGTTTCTTGGATGAGATTAACATCTGAATCACTGGACTTTGCATAATGTCCTCTAGGTTCATTCATGTTGTCATAAATGACAGAATTTGTGTTGCTGAAACAATTTTTTGCTGCTTAAAAAGTCAACACCAACTTTTATTTACATAAGAGTAATATCCAGTTCAAGAATGGTAAGGATCTCACTGTCATCAGGGCTGAGGTTTGAAATCCACTTTGAGTACACTGCAAAGAGGGCTGATGTTGACTAATATGCAGATAGGAAAGGGCAAGTCACATGCGTGGTGAGGAGCCAGACACTGAATGGTTAAAATAACTAGGGCTGTCAAAACTGAATGAAGGAAGGCTCAACAGAGAGATGATAGCTGTTTTCAGATATTTGAAAGGCTTATTGTGGATGACAGAATGTGCTTGTTCTGAATGGGAGTTGAAAGCATGAATGTTTGATTCAATCCACAGAAAGAGGAAGCTTCTCACAGTTGAGTGTGCATCAATGTTAAGGGATTCAAACAGATGTTCAATACTCATTTTGTCTGGAATGTTGTCAGAGGATTCCTGTGTGTAGAGGAATGTGGTCTTGGCACTTTTCAGTTTAGGATAATCATAAGAGGGTGGGCAGAGACAACTAATATTAGCAAACTTCAGGAAATATGCTGAATGCTTCATGTCATTAGAATGTCTAATGACATCAGAATGTCTCACTGAATCTGCCTAACAGCTCTATGAGTTAAACATTACAAGCATTATTATTCTTATTTCACAAATCAAGCTTAGTTTACATAGCAAACTGCCAGAGTTCACAATGCTGAGAAATTGTAGGGGCAAGTTGAGAATCCAGGTCTATTGCATTAAAAGACTATATACTTTCCACCATATACTCCATTTCCCTAACATGCTTTTTCAAAAGAAAAGAACAAATTCTTAGTTTGAGGACAAAACTGCCAAAATATACAGATTTTATTAACAAACTGACCAATGACAGGCACCGATTCATTGAAATATTTTAGCTATGATTCTGATCATGTATTAATTTCAATGCTTAAAATTATGAACATTTTAACATATAGTAATAGCACATGTGAAAACTACTGTCTTCTTGATATATGTCCATCTTTTTTTGGTTAATGTGATGGTTAATTTTTTTATGTGTTAACTTGGCTTGGCCTTGGTGTCCAGATTTGGCCAAGCGTTATTCTGTATGTGTCTGTGATGGTGTTTCTTGGATGAGATTAACATTTGAATCAGTGGGCCTTGCATAAAGTTCTCTAGGCCCATCCATGTGTCACAAACGACAGAATTTCTATCTTAAAGGTCGAACGGCATTCTATTGTGTATATATTCCATGTTTTCTTTATTCATTCATCCACTGATGGACAGAGAGAGAAAAAGCAAATGATCCCACTTACATGTGGAATTTGAAACAAACTAATAAGAGTAGAGAGTACAATGGTGGTTACCAGAGGCTAGAGGGTGAGGTGGGGTGGAATGGTGAAATGTTGGTCAAAGGATACAAAGTTTTTCAGTTAGAAGGAATAAGTTTTTGAAATCTATTTCACAGCATTGTGAATATAGATAATAATGCCTTGCATATTTCAAAATTGCTAAATTTCAAATGTTCTTATCACAAAAATGATAGACATGTTAATTAGCTTGATATAATCATTCCACATGGAATGTCAAAATATAAAAATATCACATTGTATCCCACAAATATATACAATTATAATATGTCAAAGACAAAAATAAATGTCAAAAAGAAAATCAGAATAAAAACCATTAAAAAAAATCGGGGGACTATGTACAAAGAAGATTATCCTCCTTTCTGTAGGTAAGCCTCATCCAAGCGGTTGAAGGCCTTAACAGACCAAAGACTGATCTACCCTAAGCAAGAAGGAATTCTGCCAGACTGCATTTGGATTTGGACTATAACTCTTCCCTCAATCTCCAGGCTGCCTGACTGTAAATTTTGCACTTGTACCTCCACAATACCTTAAAACTAAAATATATCAATCTATGTACATACACACATCTATCTGGCTCTGTTCTTCTGGAGAACACTGAATAATGCAGTTATTTATATTTCTTTTCTTTTTTTGAGACAGAGTCTAGCTCTTTTGCCCAGGCTGGAGTTCGGTGGTGCAACCTCAGCTCACTGCAACCTCCACCTTCCAGGCTCAAGTGATTCTCCTGCCTCAGCAAAAGTAGCTGGGATTACAGGTGTGTGCCACCATGGCTATTTTTTTTTTTTTCCAGTAGAGATGAGGTTGCACCATGTTGGCCAAACTGGTCTTAAACTCCTGACCTCAACTGATCCACCTCAGCTTCCCAAAGTGCTGGGATTACAGGCATGAGCCACCATACCTGGCAGCTATTTATATTTATTTGCTCTTATATTTCCAGGTTTCTTCTAGCTTTAAAATTCTATGACTGGAATAAACACAGATGTGAACTTGCAAGTAGATCTTTCCCCTGTCAAGCCTTCAGATCGGACCACAGCCTTAGTCACCACTCTAATTGTAGCCTCCTGAGAGACATTGAGCTAAGGCACATCCATATTTTTGACCCACAAAACTGTGAAATACATGTTGCTTTTAAAAAATTCCATGAGTGGCACTTAAATTTCTTTGGGACTATATCATTTAATAGAGAGTGACTCAAAAGGGGAGTCTGGGAACCTGATCTTAGCCCCTGGTCACCTCTAGCTGGTGTGCACAGACCTCAGATCTTGTCAGTCTTATTTCCCTATCTGTTAATGTGAGAGAGTTGGGCAGAAGAACTTAACTTCCCTTAAATGCTACAACTCAATGTCTCTATTAATCATACTGTTTATTCATCAAACTGAATACTGATAAAAATGACAAGTAGAACACACCCTAGATGTTCAGGCCTCTGGAATTGGTGGCAGCGTTCCAGCTTCCTTTCTGCCTGTAACTGTGAGTAAGTCCTGCTTTACCTCTTCCCCACCCCCGCACCCACCAACAGTTCTCTATCACAAGCTAATCAGCGTTAAATAATTGTTAGGGCACTTCTGTGCGTGGCCTGTGCATCTGCCAGTGTGTACCCCGTGCAAGCTGGGCTGTTAGGGTTCTGGATGTGCATACAGTCCTGGCACCGGAAGGTTTGCCTCTAGCATTTTGTGGACTAACTCTGGCAGTACACAATGGGAAGAAAACCTTTTTCCAAGTGTAAGCCCTTCTCTCTTCTCATTCCCAAGGAGGTGTGTCCAGATCCTTTGCCAGGCAGCTACTTTACAGGAGCATTGGAGAGCAGGAAGCTAACTTTCCCCAAGGAGCAGCTAGATTTACATTGGCAAATCAATCCCTCTCAATAAAATGTTATGTGACCATCTTCCCAGCCCCCTGTTAACATCCCTTCATTTTTTCGAGCACGCGAACCAGTGAGAGAAGACAGAAAAGTAAAGTGGCAGAAAAGTGAAGCAAAGCAACGACCCGGGAGCGTGGCGGGGAGACCCGCGCGGGGACTCGGGTGGGCTGCAAACGCTGGGGAGATGCCACAGGAGCGCCTGCCTTCCCAGCTTCTCCTTTCTCTCGTTGAGGGTCGCCCCGGTTCAGCGCTCCCAGCATTCTGGCGACCTCCAGGTCCGCCCTGACCCCTCCCCGCTCGGCCCGGCTCTGCGCCCATCGCCCACCCCACGCCTACCCGCCGCCACTCTCCCTTCGCCGCTCGCTCCGAGAGCGCCTGTCCCGCCCCGCGGGGCGACTTCTCCCTTTCGGCCCTGAGGTTCAGGATCCTAGGTGGGGCAGCTGCGCCTCTGGGACAGCCCTAGCCGCAGAGCGCCCAGACCTGGGCCGCCGGAGTCCGTTCAGAAGTCCACGCAGCCGGCGCCGCCGCACCTGAGCCCCGGCTCCGGTCACGCCGCTGCGCCGGAAGCGCGGGCGGAGCGCACGGGCCGGGGGAGAGTAGCCTGCGCCCACGAGGGGGACCCAAGTCCCCAGGGTGGTGGCCGAGTCCCGCCTCCCGCCAGCAGGGGCGAGGACCTGCGACGCGCACCCCTCCGCCCACGCACCCTGCCCGGCCGGGTCTCCTCAGCACCAGCGCCACGCACACCCGACTTCCTCAGCTTCCAGCCCTCACCCTGCCAACTTCCCTGCCAGGAGGAACCTGCCGCCAGCCTGCTTTCTCGCCCGCAGGCCCTGCGCTGAACGCCGCGGCGCCCAGGGTTCACCTTACGCCGTCGGGAAAGCCCATGAACTCTCCAGAAACAGCGTAAAGGAGGGTCCCGCCGCAACGCACGACTGGGGCCCCTGGGTTCCCCCTGGGTGGAGCAGCTGCAGCAGAGCCGGGAAAGTGGTGGAGGATGATCTTGCGGCCGAAGGGGACCTCGGCGCAGTAATGTCAACATGTAAGTCCCACCTTTCAGCTCGGAATTCCTTCACTCTTTTATCTGTGTCCACCCTCTGACGCCCCCTCCCCGACCACCCCACCCGTAAGAGAAATGATTTTGTAAGGACTTCAACTGCACGGAGGGAATAAACTGGTTTGTCTTCAGTTTGTCCCTCGAGGCACTGAGGAGTAGGACTATTGCCAAGTGGAGTTGTGACACGTGTGTGTGGCTTCCCCCTCCCAGCGAGGTAAACCTCACATTTGGGCGGTGTAAAGCCTAATAAAAAAGGGCAGGGCTTCAAGAATGGGGAAAACGTGTTTTCAA